GTCTCCAGCAGCAGGGAGCAGGCCCAGCCCTGCTGTGGGATGAGACAGCAGTCTGGCAACAAGTATCTGACTTCCCCCCACAATTACTGTGAGAGATTAGTCTAGTGACAGTTCTAAGACAAATCAAGAGTACTGCCCCAACAATCTGTTGTACATGCGGATCTCCAGTAGCCCAGCTCCAGGAAGATACCTGTGGCCACGGTGCAATAGAACTACACAATTGGGCTTTTGACTAGGAAGCATATTTTCAGTATGGACTGGGTATTGGAAGCGGCTTTTGTTGCCTTGTTAGCTTGTTTTTACTTAGCTTCTCCCACTGCTCCCTGCCGAGTCTAGGCTCTACCCCTCACTAGCCACATGACTTTGGCCAAGTCCCTTGAAATCCATGGACCGTAAGATGATGGCACAAGACATGAATTTCATTCTTTCGTACTGCCGGGCAATCTGACAATAATTGCAATCCCCATTTGCTCCACTGGCAAACCGGTGGTAGCAAATATAAAACATGTGCAAAGATGATATTTGTGGTTTGGCTGCTTTTGGTGCCACATGAGCATCCTTTTGGATAAATCCCACATTGCCCGTGTGCGCTAACTGTAAAATTAGGAGTCTCAATGAAATGGTGGTGCTTTTTTTTTCCTCAAAGTGTGGTGTTAATTGGGGGTAGATAGAGTGGCTTATTTTGAGGGCTGAAGTTTCCAAGTGCCAGATATATTAAAACAGAAGCTTTGTACAATAATAGGACTGTATAAATAAACAAACAAACACATAAATATGGGAAAGGGGAAGTAAGAGAAGGACTGTGGACCAAAGAGACATACGGAAGCCTGGCTACTTTTACTTTTATGCCTCTTCACATAACATCTCCAGTACTTTTAGACACAGCCCCCAAAAGATGCGTGGGAGGGGGGGGGGAGCGTGACAGGGTCAGAGGAAAGGCCTTTGTTAGAGACCGGAACCCCATGCACTCAGAGTAGTTGAGCATAACTCCAAGTAGTTCATGAAGCTTGCATCTCTATGGCTGATAATATCCACCTTTCCAAAAAGCCCTGAGGCCTGCTGAAACCGTCTCCCCAAACCTCTGGGCCCTAGGAGCCTGATAGAAAGGGACACAGTGACCAAATGTACGTTATCAGAGCCAACATACTAGCCCTGGGCTTGGAACTGAGAGACGCTTTGACAAAGACAAAATC